ACAAATTTCAAAACTAATTTTACTTGCAGAGAAATCAGGATCTGAAAATCAGGCTGAGTGTCTTTAAAAAAAATATTCCAACATCAGGATATAAAACATCATCTCTTATATTAAGGCTCAAGTCTGCTCTATTACTTGCTCAAATATATTCCAGAAAGTCTTTTATATCTTTGACCACATGGGGCAAAGCTACAAATCTCTAGCCATTAAGAGACAAAAAATACTTTAAAATAGTTTTACGCTCTTAGTTTCAATAAAGATTTGAAAATAGGAAAAATGTCCATGAGCATGTATTGCATGTGTGTGGATTTAGGGAAATAAAGAAAAAGTGGATGGCAGAGATGGAAGAATGATTAAATAAACTTGGACTCTCGAAGAGTGGAGGTTTTCACTCTTTCATGTGCCAATGCTTGTTGCCAGCCTCTCCAAGCCTCCCCCATTCTCTTTCCATTTTGGTTTATGCTAGCATTTAAAATCTGGTAGAGATTTATCTTTCTATTTAGCTAACATACACTTATACTAGTTCCCTTTGGGACACATCAACAATGGCTATTAAATCTCTAAAAGGAAGCACTGGCATTAGATAAAACCTTAAAAGTGAAGGGTTAAATCTGTTCCTAAACTAGCTCTGCCAAACTTCACATTCTGAATTAGAAGCAAGTAGCCTTGGAATGAAAACACAAAGCTTCAATACTGACTGAACAGAAGAGTTTTATTTTTGAAAGGATGTCCTGCAGGCTGTGTCAGTTAATAAACAAAATGCAGAATTTTATTGTAATATGAATCTCGGTCTTAGATTTTATAAAAACTTGACTGAAGAAAGGTGTGAATACCAAAATGTACTACACTTACACAGTTTCCCAATACTAAACTAAAACTAGTTCAACACCTTTTACTGATCCACAGTGAAAAGATGAATTACGACCAAGGTTCAAACCCTGTACATTTTAACTAGTAGCTAAATTACAATATTTATTCACTGTGCAATGACAACGTGCTATGCAGAATATTCTAACAGCAGCAGCAAAAGAACAAAAGTAAAAATCCATAAAAGAGAACAAATAATGATTTTTAAAAATAACTTACCAAAATTATTAACTTGTATGTTCACTTGAAATAATTTTCTTACAATTTGTGTTTCTGAAGAGACAAAAACAAAGTAATGTAAGTATCCACATGCATGTGTATTTCAGTGTTGCTGAAAATAGCCGTTGTTACTTATCATTTAGATATAGTTAATATTAATATTTAGTTATCTGTTTTCACTACAAAGTGTCTCTAGTACTATTATGCTTTTAAAAAAAATATTGCAGGTGTGTCCAACATAAACTTCCTTTTTTAAAAATTTAACATGAAAAAGCCAGCAGTATCAGAAGAAATATTTGAAAAACAATTTGAAATAAAAAGGACATATTTAAAGATGGAACATTTCTGTGTACCTGCAGGAAAATGTACATTTTTAAAAAAATGTAAGTGGTAAAGAAAGACAGTCCTCCTCTTATTTTCTCATATTTTTCATTCATTTAGGACAGGACCCAAAGCCTGTTGAAGTCAATGGGAATCTATACATTTAATTGAGCTTTGGTTCAGGTCCTTAGTTCTTCTCCAGTCAGATGCAGAGTTACAGAAAGATTTCTTATATCCTCTTTTTGAATTTCCTCTTGATGTTTTTGTTGGTCCACAGAAGACAAATGAAAAAAAATCTGATATTAAAAGTAGAAAACACATGTACTTTATCCTTCAAAAAGTGCTCAAGAATTTAGCAAGTATAGGAGTGTCATACCCATTTAATCCAAAGAAAGCTGTTAGCAAGGTTTCATTTTCATGAGTTAAATCTGGAAGAATATGGATCCTTGAATTCAGGTGACAGTATGATATTTCCTCTCTTCAAAAAAAAAAATGGTATAATTCTAATCTTGATCAAAACTGGAACAGAACATGATCACGGTGATATCTTCAGAACGAATGAAGGGAGCAGCAAATAAGGTTTCACAAAAATGAATGTACAGGTCTGTATTCTCTTTTCATTTGCACTGGTATTACACCACTGCAACTCCATTGACTTTAAAAGAATTATTCCAGACTTACATTGGCACTGGTAAGAGGAGAAATCAGGCTCAATTTTTTTGAGAGTCAAACGCAGGTTTTTAGAAAAGGGAATGAAACTCATTATTCACCCATGTAAATATATTGGAGTAGAGGGTGTGTGTTAAAAGGTTAACTCAGACTTCTCATGATGACATAACACAGGGATCTTAAGCAATCATGAGTGTGTAGAGACATGATAACTCACTGGGTGGAGACTGGGAGTTGCAGGGCAGTGACAAGGGGCCTGGACTGGGCTACTGGTGTACTTAAAAAAAAACCCACACACAACAGCCTGAAACAGGAAAGAGCACACATATGCCACTTGGAATGTATGACGCAAACCCCAGCCTTGAAACAAAGAACAGGAAACAGCTCTGCTGGCTGTGCTGGAGAGAAAGCACAGAGAAACATTTAGGCAGCTCTCTCTGACCCTATATTCATGAGCAGCTGGAGTTTTTTAAACAACAACAGTGGGTGGAGGTGTTTGTTCACTGGGTGTGAATACAAACACTGTCTTTATATAGGAGACCTCCCTATTTACAGGCAAATATCTACACTCAACAGGAGAGGACATGTGATTTTAGACACCACAAGTCATGACAATTTATCCCAGCCATCCCTTAGATTATTTTTTTTTTGCCCCTAAACTGCTAATATTTAACTACAGTCTGGATTTTACATAACAGCAATCAGCTTACTCTTAGCCTAAAATTGTCTTCTTCAAAGAGAACAACCAAGGGATTGGATCATTACAGGAATTAATATTAAAAGTACACTCTATTTCAGAAATTGGCTATTTTGCCACTGCCAAAATTCAGTATGGTTTGGCAGCTGAAGGCTGACATAATTTAGTGTACCCAGTGTTGCTGTAGCTTGCTGGTCCCAAGATATTAGAGAAACAAGGTGGGTGAGGTAATATCTTTTATTAGACTGGTGAGACACAAGGTTTCAAACAGACAGAGCTCTTCTTCTCAGTGTACTGATGACAGAACTTAAAATTACAAGAATTATTAAAAAGACTCACTCTACTAAAATATTTATCTACAACAATTCACACTAATTTTCACTTTTCTGTACTTTTGCTTCAGTTGCACATGGAGATTTTATCTGTAGAACCAGTTAATCACAAATTATATATATATATATAATTTTTGACAAATCACTCCTACATATGACACTAAACCCATCAAGCTGTTTAAGGAAATAGGGAGCTCTGGGGGTGAGGTAGCACATTTCATCTACATGAAATGTATCAGACTAAGTTTTATACTTGGTTTCTCTCAGAACAACCACTTCACTGTTCTTTTACAACATGCTTTGAACTAGTTCCCCACAGTAGGTCAGACAGCTGCTGTACCAGATATTATCAGATGTGAGAACGTGTTACTGCAAGTTACGTTGATCAGCATCCTAGTAATGACAGTAACCACCATAAATTTCATATTAGTAACCGAAGTTTCAGAAGTATGAGATTGCAACAGGTTACAGAAGAAGCTGAACACCAGTGTATAAGTTTATATGTTCTGCATTTACATTACCAGTTTATTTTCTTTATACTTAACATTTGGAAAGGTAAATATAAAATAATCTAGGCTCTTGTTTAGCTTCTCAATACTGTAGTATATGATCACTTTCAACTGATTTAATTCACTTTTTCATCATTATTTACCTGAACACTTGTTTTTGTAGTGCTGTAGTCATGTAGGTCCTAGGATATTAGATGGTAAGGTAGGCAATATGGTTCTCAGCCACATGTTTCACTTGTGTTTTTGACTGATATTACAGCTGTTGTGTAGGTTTAGTGCATTTTATAATATGGTAGGGAACACTCACAACTGTTACTTACTGACAAAATATTAATGTTCTCATAAAAGGAACGGACCATTTTACATCTTCTGTCTCCACTCCCCTCCCCCCAGGCCTCAGGCTTTACTTACTATTATACATTAACCAGTGTAGGCAAAACATATTTACCTGCTTGGATAAAAGGAAAGTATGCCAGTCAACTAAACTCTGCTGCAGACTCTTGTATTTGAAAATATTAGTGCTATCTAACCAAACCATACATTTTAAAGCACAAGGGATAAAGTTAGTTTGAAGTAAGTGTCTCCAGGGTCAGACAGGATTATCAAATCCAGATGTGATTCCTCTCATAAAAAAAAAAAGAAGGTCCAACAACCAAGAGAGAACATCTTAAAAATTATTCTATGGAAAATACATGACAAGCAATTGTATTATTATTTTTCAATACAGATTAAATAATATTTATGGACATTAATATCAATAGAATCAAAATCACAAAGTCCCTCCACAAAGTCCCCTAACTCTGCTTCTCATAACAGTCAAGGCAGAGCCCTGAGAATTGTGACACTTCCTGAGTTTTCAAAGAGCCACTATATAGAGGCAGAGCGCAAGCAAACAATGCAGGTACAGTAAAATTGAATCAGATTTGATAAAGAAATTGATTTCATCAAATAATTTGAGTTAAAAAGAATGACATTTTGAACAATTCTAAACTGGATATTATTCCTGATTGTTTACTACTTTGTGTGGAATTTCAACATGGGGACTTAAAGAACTTTCTCTGGTCCTTTCCTTCCCCCTCACTCCCCACTCTAATACTTCTGGGTGAAAACTTACATCTGACAAAGCTTGAAGATAAATATTTCTTTTACCATGTAAGTACAGAAAAACTGCACTCTTAAAGGCAGGAAGTCAATTATGGATGTTAATTCCCAGTTTCTTATAAAAGTTATTTTATATTGCAAGTGTAAGAGCTATAATAAATATTAGATATTTTATTTTTTTTCCTATACAGGTGTTAAGACTAGAGTTTTAAAACACTTTTGAACTAATTTTATGTATGGTGTAGGTCCACAATAGTCAGCAGAATTATACCACGGTTAAATGTGGCCATTAAACTATTCCACAGTGTTAAAATCCTAATGCTAAGTGATAGCGTGTTGTTTAAAAAAAAAACACCATGAAAAACTAATCTCTTGACTGCTCTCCGCCCCCCCCCCGACAAATTTTTACAATCCCACGGAAGTTAATGAACCCATTATGTTGTCCTACCCAATTTTGTAATTCAAGATTATTAGTAAACTGATGGCGTTTGAAATTATATTTGTCTATTGTACCGCAATCCCCAGGCTGCAAAAAGATGCTCTGGGGGCTGAAGCAATTGCTACCGAGTACCAGAAGCTCAGCAGAACGTCTCAAATTGTCCAAGTCACTAGCGGGGAAAAAAGAGGCTCCCTTTCATATTGAGACATGGAGCAAACACACTTGTCGTGGGATCCTCACCAGAAAAGCTGAGCCAACGGTCTCACACACACAGGTGTGTGATTTTTCTTACCCAATCTCAGTAAAAGCCAGCGGAAATCACATACACCAGAGCAAGCCCCTGTATTTTGTCCCACCCTATCTTGAAAAAAAAAAATCACAGAAACCGGGGGTGGAAACGTTCGCAGAAATCCCCCTACTTGCCCCCCTACACACACGTGACCTTCTGTCCCTTCTTCCCAGAAAGAGACAAAGTATCATCGGAGTTGGTGACCCCTCCTTCCCCTTTACAAGCTGCGAAGAAGCAGATAATAAAGCACCGCAGGAGCTGACGAGAGAAACACGCACGCTCCCCCCTTCCTGGCGGCTGCTGCTCACCGCCCCCTCCCCCCTGCAACAACTTTCGCAGCAGCAGCAAAGCCTCGCAGGAGCCAGAGCGCGTCAAGGGACTGTCCGCGGGGGCAGGGGGGCCCGGCCCGCAGAGCCTCCGCGCGCTGGCTGCTCTGCACGCGCCCCGCTCGCCGCGACACTTCACTCCCCCTCCCCCGCCCCGCCCTTCCCCCAGCAGCTGGAAACTTTTGCCCGCTGCAGGCAAGCTCAGCCCCCGCCCGCTCCCCGCGCTCACATGCGGCACAGGGGCCTCCGCCGCCTCCGGGCTCGGCCGAAGCCCTGCGATGGGGGCTGTGCAGCAGCAACGCGCCCGGCTCCCTCCCTGCGGCTGAGGCTGTGCGCTCCGCGGTGGCCGCGCGGCTCTGGGCGAGGGGAGGGCGCTCGCTCGGCTCCCCCAGGCTCCTGGCACTAGGCCCCGCTGTCACATGACGCCGGCGCCGCTCGCTCTGCCAGGCTCCCTTGGCCGGCGGGGTAAGGGGAGGGTCAGGGAGGGGAGCGCGGCCAGGGCGGCTCCCAGCCCGCTGGGTGGAGGCGGCGCTGGAGGGGCCGGGACGAGTCACTCGCTCGCACGCCCAGCCAGGCACGCACGGCACCCCCGCCCTGCCCCCGGGGGCAGACACTCACAGACACTAATGAGCCCCAGCACCGCGGCGCGGCCGCCGCCGCCCGACCGGCCCTTCCAGCTGCTCCGCCGCCGCGCCCTCGCTGCGTGTCAGGCAGAGGCGTGCGCCTGGCACCCGGCGCCAGCTACGCCCCCTGCCCGCCCGAGCTAACCCGTGCGGCGTGGCGCAGCGCCTGGGGGCAGCAGGAAGGGAGGTGCTGGGCCGGGCTGCCGCGGAGCTGGCTTCACAAACACGGGCTGGGCGAAGGGACCGGCACTGCCTTCCATGGAGCCCGTCCCTGGCGCTGCCGGGGGGGCCCGGCGGGGGGGCTTCTCTTGGCGTGGGGACTCGTGTGCCCTGCAACGCGGGGGCGCCGGGCTTAGGGCTGTGATCCACTGTGGCTCGGAGTCAGAGGACAGGCCAGGGGCATCGCATACCTGAAACAGAAAAGACGTGCACACTCACTGCTATTAAATAAAAGTAAACAGGTAAAACAAAAGTATTCCTTCAGATGCCATTAGGGGCCGAGTTCTCTCTGGTACACTGCTGTTATGGGCTCTACAACTGAGCCACTTTCGTTTAAGTGCTTAACTTTAGGTACTTACCAGGTTTGGCCGAAGTGACCAGCATCGCATACCTGAAACAGAAAAGACGTGCACACTCACTGCTATTAAATAAAAGTAAACAGGTAAAACAAAAGTATTCCTTCAGATGCCATTAGGGGCCGAGTTCTCTCTGGTACACTGCTGTTATGGGCTCTACAACTGAGCCACTTTCGTTTAAGTGCTTAACTTTAGGTACTTACCAGGTTTGGCCGAAGTGACCAGGGCAAGGCAACTCAAGAAGTCCTGAATTACATTGGGTATCCCAATGTATTGTAAATCTTAAAGTCAGTGACTCTGGATTTAGACTGCTGTGATCCTAACTCTGGCCTCTAAGTGGGAAACAGTGTAAAGAACAAAGCTCACATCTCCTGACTTTTAGTCCCATCCTTTCACAGCAAGACTGCTGCTGTTATTTATTTAGGTTAAGTTTTGAAACCTTCACAAATAGCCCCTTTAACTTCATTGGAATGATGTGCATCTCACACACTACCCAGGCTAAATAAGGATACTAGTGGGCTCAACACTATTCAGACTATATGGTTACTGTCTTTGAGGATATTGTTCTTGCCCCAAAAAGATTACAGTCAAATACAATACAGTGCAAAGTGTAAGTGCAAGTTAAAGCCCCCAGGATATTCAAATTTTAATGTGACACAAATAATGGACAAATTTTGCTCTTTTCACACATACAATCACAGTGGCAAAGTGGTATTGGACCCACATCTCCAATGTATCTGCTTTTACTCAGGACAGGAGTCTCAAAAACTGCTGAGTGGTCAGGACTTGAAAATCAGGTCACTTATTTAGATGCCCAAATACAGATTTAAGAGCCAAATTTTAGGTGTCCATTTTTAAAAATATTGGCCCAAAGTTCCTAGCTTTGTGGTTTAGGGCAGTGGTGGACAACCTGCAATCTGAGGACCACAAGCAGCCCATTGGTGCCCACGACCCATTTTATTTACTGTTGCCCATATATAGGGTTACCAGAGTCTCCTGATTTTCATCAGCATTGTTTTTTCTCCTATCCATATTACATACTTGATGTGCACTTAAAGCAAAGACACGCGAATTGAGCTGTGTGCTGATTGTACATTGTGAGAGTCCTGTGCTCTCAATGCATCCAATTAAAGCGATGCTATAGTTCCATTGGCACATATCCAAAATTCTAGGTACACAAGCACAATTAGTAAAACTACCCTATCCTGGGAGACCATCTTGGTTACGACAATCTTGTGGCCCACTGAGATGAAGGAGAGCCACTCATACAGCCCACTCGGTAGCCTAGGTTGCTCATCGGTGGTTTAGGCTATGATTCTGCCATTGAGTTGACGCATTGTGGCTAGGAATTTTAATACATTCAATATGGTAATCTCGTGAGTCACCTATGATACGTAAAAATTAGATCCTTCTACAGTAAATGCCATGTGAACAGATGAAAGCCCATTGTAACATTCTGTGAGTGTTGGGCCAGTATGTAGTTCTTATTGAAAGATCAGGGCCTTGTAAGTCAGAGGGAGTTGATGGATGCCTAGTGTTTTTGAAAATCAGACCATTTATTTCAGACTTTAGGCATTTGTTTTGCAAAAGATTGATTATAACGTATCCCTTTCTCTTTGATTTTTATAATCTATACTATTATAAAAGGCGAGGTGTCCATCACACCGTCTGTCACAGATAACATTTAAAAAGACTTGAGAAGTTCATAGAGGGAAGCAGGCTCCCCTGCCCTGTCTACAGCCCCATCCCCTCTGCTGAGGACCCACCCCCACCAAAGGGAGGAGAGGAGGAGAAGCAGCACACCCAGTGGGAAGGGAAGAGGATGCATGACTCCAACCCTCCCCACCCCCGCCAGGAGCAGCAGGGAGGGAAGAGGCTGTAGGGCACAAGTCTCCCCGCCCCTGGAACCAGTGGTAAGGGAGGTGGCTCCATGGCCTGAGTTGGCCCAGGCCTCCCCGGCCCTGAGAGCAGTAGGGCGGGAGGAAGCCACATGCATGTCTCCCCCACCCCCACCATGGGGAGGAGAAGAGCACCGCTGCATCCCCAGAGCAGCAGGGAGGGAAAAAGACACATGGCCCCACCCCCTCTGCACCCGGGAGCAGCAGGGAGGGAAGAGGCTGCACAACTCAAGCCTCCCCACCCTTGGGAACAGTGGGAAGGGAGGTGTCTGCATGGCCTAAGCTGCCCCCACCTCCTCTCCAGAATAGTGAGAAGGGAGGAGGCCACATGTACATTCACATGTACATTTACCATCACAACAAGCCGGGTAATGCTAGTCTATGCTATTATAAAAGGAGAGGTGTTGAGCACAGAGGACATTTGCGAATACACTGGAAGACTCAAGAAGGGGAAGGGGAGGGGAGGGCAGGCAGCAGGTGGCGTGGCGTGGCGTGGCGTGGCAGGGCAGGGTAGCCTGGGGTGGGACCTCCAGTGGCCTAATGGAGAAGGTGTCAGCCTTTATAACATGGGGTTGTGGGTTTGCATCCTGCAGCTGTCTCCAGGTTTTCCCTAGGACTAACACCAGCTGAGGGTAGGGAATAAAGTAGGCTATGTCTAGACTACAAGCCTTTTTCAAAAGTATCTTTTGAAAAAGCCTCTTTCGAAAAAGAGCATCTAGACTGCAAGCAGTACTTTCGAAAAAGTAAGCCGCTTTTTCGAAAGAAAGCAGCGAGTGAGTCTGGATGCTCTCTTTCTAAAAAGCCCTGTTGGCATTCAAGAATGCCTTTTTTCGAAAGAGCACTTTCGAAAAAAGGCGTTCTTCCTTGTGAAATGAGGTTTACCGCCGTCGAAAGAAAAGCCGCGTTCTTTCGATTTAATTTCGAAAGAACGCGGCTGCAGTCTAGACGCAGGTGATGTTTTTTCAAAAAAAGGCTACTTTTTTCAAAAAAAACCCTGAGTCTGGACACAGCCATAGTGATAAGCAGCTGGCTGTAAAGTTGCTTGCTCTGCCTGCAGCAAGTGCAGGAGCAACTGGGTAGGGGAGCCACCCTAGGTGTGTTGTGTGCAGAGCACCCCTGGGCCCACCCTGGAAGGGCATGGTGATGCTGACATGTAGGAGCACCCAATCCTGTGTAGGTAGAGTGGATATGTGGTGCTTCTTGCTTTCAGTGCCTTGCCTGCAGAACAGTGCCCTGCTTTTTCCCTCTTCCCCCAGACAGGAGAGCTCCCAGCACCATCCCCATTCAGGGCATCTTCCAGGCCCTCAGCCACACCTTCCTCTACAGCTGGGGAAAATGCTGGCTCAGGTTTGCCCAGGTCCCCTGGCCAGGACAAGAGAGCAGCCCAGCTTGCTGCCCTCCTCCTCCCAGCCCGCAGTGCTGATTCCACTGGGAAGAGCCTGCCTGCAGGGCAGGGACCTTGGAGCTCCAGCTCCAGCATCTGTAACTGAGTTTATTTATTGTTACAGTCTCTCCCACATGGCAGCCAGACGCTGCTCCAAACAGGGAACAAGTTAGCAGTTCATGGGCTGAGTATGGAATGGAGGCTGCGCCTCACCAGGAGCCTAGGGGATCTGGGCAGGCTGGCCAGAATCCAGCCCAATGGCACCTGGATGATGGACTCCAGCAGCCCCGCGGCACTCTCCGGCAGGCGTGAGCGCATGGCGCATCTGGATGGCACAAGGTGGGAATGGAACAGTGGGGACACAGCCATGGTAGCAGCGGGTCCTTCACAGTCAAGATGGCGGCTAGGTCTGCTTTTGCCTCCCGCACCATGCCAACCTGAGTGTATGTCTACTGTCACAACAAGATGGGTAATGCTAGTAATAAAAGCAATACAAAGACCTAAAGGCAAAAGAACCTAGTTGTTTAAGTATTCTACTGTTTGCTTTATTTACAGACACATTAAAATCTATGCTTTTTTAT